TTCATCCAACTTAGCACATCCTGCTAGATTAATCTTGAGTAAGGACATTCAAAAAAGATATGTAAAGAGGTTTCTGGGCAGGAGTTACATAACATACATACACTATCCTCCTGCTCCTTTTGGTAAACAGATTTTCTCTCATGCTACTAGGGCTCTTCTAGAGATAGTGGCTTCACCTGTCCACAAGTAACTTCTATATGTAGCCTCAATCAGTTTAATCACATTCTGAAGCAGAAAAAATAACTGTGACTAGTATGCTTGAACCCCAAATAAAACAACTTTTTTAAAAAATAGAGCATTAAACCCATCAATCCCTGGGCCTTGTTATCATCAATATCAAAGAGAGCATCTTTGATTTCCTCTTGAGTTATCTCCGAACACATATCCCTTTGTTGTTGCATGGTAAGACTAGGTTCCTGTCGCATAATATTCAAGTCAATACAAGGCACTCTGTCAGCAGCAGATCCTAGGAGTCCTTTGTAGAACTGAAGGATTTCATCCTTAATATCATCATGCTTCTGCAATACTCTACCATCACCTCCCCTTAATATAGATATATTGTTTGAACTGGCCCTAGCCTTCATACAAGCAAAAAATTATCTGTTATTCCCATCCCCAGCATTTATCCAGTGTGCCTTAGCTTTTTGCTTTAGAATTCTTTCATGTATGTCCGATCACTTATTTAGCTCATCCAATGCTTCCTTCTCCTTTTCCATCAAGCCAATATCTGTATGCAAAGTAATTAAAGTCTGGATATTCTGCAGATTATCTCTAGATTCGTTTACCCTTTTAACGTTTACCTCAAAAATAGAGGAGAATAAAATACAGTAATAAAGAAGCTTAATCTTACTCCAACTTTTGTTTTTGGGTCCTAGTTTTATGTGTTGACCTCAAAGTATTAATTATAATTTTTTCCTACATAATTTTCTTAATAAATTTTAAAGAATATGATAAGCCGATTCTCTTTCTTAATAGTCATTCTTCTCCATTTATGTTAAAAGTAAACATAACGTGTTCCTAAAGGTATTAGGCAAACATGCTAAGATGTAGTATTATATGTCTATGCCCAAAAATAATTATACTAATAGGATTCCTAAAGGTCATGCAAGATTCCTAATGTGTAGCATTATATTCTAAAACTAATAGAGTTATAAGGCTAATATCTAGAATTCCGGTTATGTCCTTTTATTATGAGGTATTATGCTTAATGTTATAAGGTTATTTTTGTAAACCGACATTATATTCATGCTTTTATAATAATATAGATAGATAGATAGATAGATATAGATATAGATAAATATAGATAGATAGATAGATAGATAGATAGATATTATAGATATAGATACAAAGCCAAAGACATCCCAAGACAAGATACAACTATTACAAAGGGAACATGATCAATAGAATCTGGTTGACTCCGAGCTGGGATATATAGTGGCACAAATTCTTAACCAATTTCGAATTTGTCGTCTCATGCTGAGGGGAATCTAGAGGTGTCAAATGGGTGGGCCGGATTGCTTTTGGGCGGGTCAATATAGGTTGAGTCAATAATTGAGGGGGTCAACAGATCCGTCCAAAAATTACTTGGGCTAAGATGGTTTAGGTCAAGATGGGCTAAAATTCGGGTCATAAGCCAACCCGCCCAACTCTTATTAAGCTTTAATTAATATGTGTTATTTTCTTATAAATTATATAATTACTAAATAAGACTTTTTTTTGGGTTATGGTCATATATTAACATATCACAAAAAAATTATTTGTAAGACATTCTGACAAAGTTACTCATAGATCAATTTGGGCTAAAGATTAGCCCAACTTTAAATGGGTGAGATGGATTGGTTCAAAATAGGATAAGTTCAATAAATGGACGGGTCAATAACCAATCAACCTTGGGCGGGTCATTTGGTCTTGGGCCAAATTTGACAGCCATAGGAGCATCGGGGCAATTATATCTATACCCGCTTTTTGTGCCACGTTTTAACTTGTGTCCGCTTTGAAAAAATAAAGTGCAAGCGTACCCGCTTTTTCGCATAACTTCAGCATACGGGGCTGAAGTAGCAAAGACAATCACGCAAAACTTCAGCATTCTAGTAGCCGGGCCTGAAGTTCAGCTCTAGAGCTGAAGTTTTTGTTTGTAACTGGCTTTTTATTTGTAAGCTTCAGCTCTAGAGCTGAAGTTTTTGTTTTGTAACTGTCGAACGTCAGCTCTAGAGTTGAAGTTTTTGTTTTGTAACTGTCAAACTTCAGCTCTAGAGCTGAAGTTTTTGTTTGTAACTGGCTTTTTATTTGTAAGCTTCAGCTCTAGAGCTGAAGTTTTTGTTTTGTAACTGTCGAACGTCAGCTCTAGAGTTGAAGTTTTTGTTTTGTAACTGTCAAACTTCAGCTCTAGAGCTGAAGTTTTTGTTTGTAACTGGCTTTTTATTTGTAAGCTTCAGCTCTAGAGCTGAAGTTTTTGTTTTGTAACTGTCGAACGTCAGCTCTAGAGTTGAAGTTTTTGTTTTGTAACTGTCAAACTTCAGCTCTAGAGCTGAAGTTTTTGTTTGTAACTGGCTTTTTATTTGTAAGCTTCAGCTCTAGAGCTGAAGTTTTTGTTTTGTAACTGTCGAACGTCAGCTCTAGAGTTGAAGTTTTTGTTTTGTAACTGTCAAACTTCAGCTCTAGAGCTGAAGTTTTTGTTTGTAACTGGCTTTTTATTTGTAAGCTTCAGCTCTAGAGCTGAAGTTTTTGTTTTGTAACTGTCGAACGTCAGCTCTAGAGTTGAAGTTTTTGTTTTGTAACTGTCAAACTTCAGCTCTAGAGCTGAAGTTTTTGTTTATAACTGGCTTTTTGTTTGTAAGCTTCAGCTCTAGAGCTGAAGTTTTTGTTTTCTAACTGTCAAACTTCAGCTCTAGAGCTGAAGTTTTTTGTTTGTAACTGGCGAAGTTTTTGTTTTTGTAACTGGCGAACTTCAGCTCTAGAGCTGAAATTTTTGTTTTGTAACTGTCGAACTTCAGCTCTAGAGCTGAAGTTATTTGGAAGCTAGCTTTAGAATAGGATCTGCTCAATTAAGCTGGGGATCTATCCATAAAACAACTTGCTAGTTTGCTCAAGAATTTTTATGTGCTAACATACTCAATTTAGCTTTACAAGAAACAACTTTCACCTTAATAATGTTTATCAAAACAACCCCAAAAAAAGAAGTAAATAAATAAAAATTAATCATCCCTAATTGCGAGAACAAATAATTAGCTCCGTAATACGATTAAAATGCAAAGATAGTTTCCACTCACAAAAGGAACTATGGAAAATAATTTCTTTTTTAATCATATAAAGGTACAAAAGAAAGTTTTAACTTCTATGCACCAACAGTTTGAAAGAAACTTTACCTAAAAAATAATTTGCACCAACAGCAGAAGAAGAAAGAAGAAGAAAACGAAGGAGGAGAAGGAGGAGGAGAAAGGGGGCTGAAATTATTTAAAACGTGGGTACAAATTAAAAGTTTTTTAAAAAAAGGGTAAATGTTAAATGAGGGCGACCAAATAGGGCGCCCCGTGCAATTTTTACTAGGAGCATCCCTATGTAGTGACCAGTCCACCAATTCGCGCAAACCCAAAGGAATTCAAAAAAAATCATACTAATCTTATTCTTCTCCTCCCTTGATTTATTCGTTGCCTTAGTAGTTATAGGCTTATAGCAGTTTCAATTCTACTATTTGTATTGGGTTTCTTCTTAGTTAATTCAGCACAAATAGCCGGCCAGATTCACTGTTTAATATATGGAATATGCAATGATTATACACCTATAACATATGAATTATACATACATTATATATCCACCGACTATTTTTAATTTAAGCGATTAGGTGGATGGTTGTTTGGGTTTATTCTTCATGTTTAAAATAACCAAATTAAGGCACCATCTCCTCAAATAAAAAGCACGAAATAACAAAGGGGGAGTATAGCCCTAGTTTCTTTTGGTCATGGAGATGATGACATTTGTGAATGTAGTCTTCTCTTTTGCAATGCAATTGACAAAGATTTCTCTGCACTTGTTGAACACTTGATCCATATTCAATTCAGTACCAAAATGGCTGACAAGCAAAGGTTCAGCCACGGGTCTCAAGCTATTTGCCATATTGTCACTATTGATGCAATCTTGGGGTGTGGCCTTTTTTCGGTCCTTACACAAATGCGAGTCGCTTTGTACACCGGACCGACCTGTATTATTGCAAGTTTCATCAGAAACATCAATATGAAGTTCCGAAGTTTCCAAGACATCAATAGTGAAAGATCCCTCCTTTTCAACTATATACTTCACTTCTGCAGGAGATGGATGGTATATAGGAATGTTGAATGAATTTACTTTCTCTTCTTCTATTAAACCCTGCCTATTAATAATGAAAATACACTATGAGTTTAACTTCTATATATTAATAATGCAATTGTTTTTATGCTATTAGGTCAATTAAAAAATTATCGTTCATAATAAATTGGATTGGCAATTTGAAATTCAAATGTTATATTCCTTCTGCTCTATTTTACGTGATACTGAATTTTCACGAATAGTAAACTTTTAATATTTAAAACTGATTTAACTTAAACTTCTCGTACCATTACTGACATGCAAAGGCGGATCTGCGATTTAAGTCTATGGGTACCTACACGGCTACAACGACCTCAAGTTAATGTGTAACATGATAGCTGAGTTCATAATCAGATATTTATAAGTATTTAGTGGATTTCTTAACATGTATATTACCTTTGGGCAAAAACTACGGAGCTCATTGAACCGTTATGGCCCTAATGACATGCTCTTATAACTACAGAAATATCATGACATAATCAAGATATTACGGAATATGCAAATTATTTTTTTTCAAGATATATGCAAAAAAAAATTTAAAAAAAAAATTGGTATTTATATGTCTACGATGTGTATATAATATTAAAATTTGTTTGGTTTTACCATTTCAACTAGCTCTTTGAGGGCCATGGCCAGAGGCTCCACTATGTAGTAACACCCTTTGCTGTAGAGACCTTCATTGTTCCTACCTAGCATTGTCAATATCATACGTCCTCCTTTCACCAATTCCTTTGAACGATACTTAAGAAAAGTTACAAAATCTCTTTTATATTGCTCATAATATGCTTCATCCACAATTGTTGGACTTGTTCTTGACACGTAAATATTTCCCTTGTTATCTTCTATACCATCAGGCACCTATATGTCACAAGTCATGAATTCAAATCTTATGTTAGCTGTTCAGAATAAATATGATCTTATTGTGTATATATTCGATCCGTAAACCATTTAATTAAACATGTAGAACCTACAACAACAACAACAAGTCCTATATGCTTCTACCGCCTATATATACAAATGATTTCAAATAATAATTTAAAAAAGCAAAATTAAAGATTGAAATTACAGCAACAATTCAGTGTAATCTGAAAAGCAAATTCTTAAAAGAATAATATAAATGCAGACGTTACCCTTACCTTATAACTATAGAAACAAAATTTCGTTCAACATAAATTTGTTAAAGCGGTTGGAAAGGCAGCAACTGACAAGAATGACATGCTTAACCATGATTAATTAGTCCAGAAAAAAATCAGGCCAGAAATATCTTTGCAGTTCAAACGCTCAGTCAATTCATGCATGCTCCTAAACAATCTTGCATGGAGGGGAAGAGTGGTTAGATACATTTAGTGGTGG